ATTCAACTCGTCAGCTCATTAATAGAGACTTTAAGATCTGAAGTGGGTCAGAAAAGGTAAAGAGTTGTGAGAAAATGCAATGCGTGTCAGATCCACATCATGTTCAGCAGTGGCAGCTCTTAAAATAATAACAGCCAAAACAACCTAATAACCAGCTGCTGTGATGTCTATTAATCAAAGGACAAAGAAAAAAAGAGAGGAAAAGGGAGCTTTTATAGCTTTAATGATTCATCTATATTTAATTTAGAATTTAGTGTTTGATAACTTCAATTTCAATTTCTGTATATTTCTGCGATTCATTTCAGACGTACAAACATTTGATTCAAACAAAGTCAAATGACAAACATTTTTTTCATGCACAGCTCAACAGTCTCCTTTCAGCTGGAACTCATGCATGGGTGTCATTACCTTTTAGTGGAAAGCCGCTAATACTCTTTTCCTATGTAGAAGGAATTGTGGGATTTGCAAAAGATTGCATGTCTTGTCTGTTTTGTGCAGGGGGTGGTGAGTGTTCACTGCAGTTGCCTGGTAATTGTGCACGCACAGAAAGGCATTGATTGAATCGTTGCTCAACAAAGCAGAAACTGCTTATTGAGCTAATGTGCTAGTGTGTTGGGATCAATTTCACAATGTCACTTTTAAAGTATAGACTGAGGAGAGTGGTAGGCGTGTCAGAGCGGATTGCGCCAGAGCTGTCATATTCATTTTTATGTGTGTGGACATGCAACTTTCATAACATAACCTATATGTGCTAGTTAAAGTCACAGAAAGACAGTGCTTTCTAGGTAACTATATGTTTCCATTAGTGATTTGTATGTGGTGTTGCTTTTTCGCTGTTGCAAATCACTTATTTACGCCTGTTGCTGCTTCAGTTATTTTTTGCTGGTAAAACAAATCAATCCCCATCAGCATAATATCAGTTCTCTTGAATCTGCTGTGGAAATATTGCATGCTAAGCAGTTTATGAGTGTCTCCACCGTTTCTTGACCTTGCTGTTTCATTTATACCCGTCTCTTGATCGCAGACACAGATATATCGGCTTGCTGTACTGAGAACTGAATAAAAAAAATTACTGTACTGAATAAAAAAAATTAAATGTTATGAAGTTTTAGTTATGTGATATATATTAATGTATATACTGAAAGTATAAAAGTTTTATTGTCACTTTTAAACGATATATAAATCCTTGCTGAATAAAAAAAAATCATCAGACCCCCAATGCATATTTACATATCATTTGCGTATTTATTTTTCTGTACAGTAATTTATTGGCCATCATTATTTAATTTTTAATATTATTTATTTGTTTGTTTGTTTATTTATTTATTTATTTATTTATGTTTAGTGCCAGACTAAACATCATGTATCTGCAACTGCTTGCTTTACATGTTGTTCACATGATGTATACCTGTCCAAGTGAGAAACTCTGACTGTGATGAGTAATGAAGTGCACCAGACTTTTTAATCGTGACAGTAGTTCTCAAGTGAAATTTAAGAAAGGGAAAAAAAAGTGATGGAAAAATTAGAACTGAATCCTGTTCTTCATCCGCTTACAAGAACAGTGTTTATTCTTTTACTCCCCAACCTCTCTCTCTCTCTCTCTCTCTCTCTCTCTCTGGTTCAGTGGAAATGGAGACGGAGAAAGAGAAATAGAAGGAGGGTCATAGATGCAGACGTAACGTGAGAAGCATCTCTTGCTGTTTCAGCACTCGGGCAGGATATAGCGACCCTTAAAATGGTTAAAGAAGTCAAACTGCAAGGGTGGTACAGTCAGTCCTGTGAGTTATAGACTGGAGAGGACAAATGCAGCGGGGCCACAGGGAGAACGGCGTATGAGGGAACATCCAGAGGCTACTCAGAATACTTAAAGTCCCTCAAGGCCAGTAGGGATTTCTGTTTAAGAAACAGATCCGTTATGCAATTATGATTTACGTATATGCAAAATCAGAATGAGAAAGTAGATGGTTTTTATTCTTTTGAACAGTTCTGCCGGACCAGCGACGGGAGAATCTAGTTAGCATTCTGGCTCATATTCATGCCACTCGTTCAGTCAAGTTAATTAATGGTTAAGGGAGCACTCAACTCAGTCTTGGTTAAAATCACACAATCTCAAGTGTTTATTTCTCACACCTGCGTAACTGTTCATTAATATTCATGCTGATAAATATGTGTGTGTGCGTGTCAAACGAGGTGCTCTCACATGGTTCTCACATGTGCAGTGACGAAACTGCTCTCCTAATCAGCGCTGATGTAATCAGCAGGCAGCCCACCTCTCTCTCTCTCTCACTAGCTGTCTCTTCATAGCCAGCACTACTAAGACGGCAGTGTACTATTCCTGCTAACAGGCCATTGCCATTAGCAGAGCTTATCTTCCAGTATGGGTATTTTGTAAATCTGCATCCACAAACTGAATTACATTAGCATGGCTTTTCCAATCAAAACAGATCAGTAGAAAACCAGCTGCTGGTATTGTATAGAAGAGCTGGAATATAGAACTCATATTCATATGCCTTAAATTATTTTGAAATATCTCTATCTATCTATTAGTGTTGTCACGGTACCAAAATTTCAGTATTCGGTACCAATACCAGTGAAAATCCACGGTTCTCGGTACCAATTTCGTTCTATCTTTCTGTTGGTCTTTCTATATCTGTCTATATTTTATTAAGATATAGAATATGGTAAAAATGGTTGTATGTAAAATATTACAATTTAAAATGTATTTAAAAATGCAGTTTATTTCAGTTTAGACTTAATTTTACAGGAACACCTTATACTTTAAAAATCTCAATGCATTTCTCTCTCTCACAGTTGATTATATACAAAACACTTTACAGTTAAAACATTTTGTTTCTGTCCCATTCCAGCCCTTCCAAGCTACACCTGTGGGAATCCAGGCCAGCTGCTGAATGGCATGCAGCAGGGCTCTACTTTCAACATCGGGGATAAGATCCGCTACAGCTGCAACCAGGGTTATGTGTTGGAGGGCCACACTGTGCTCTCCTGCCTGGCCACTTCCTCCGGCACCGCTGCCTGGGACTTCCCCCTGCCGTACTGCCGAGGTGAGTCCGGGAGCTCCAAATGGGCCAGGTGGGATTGAACCTCATCAAGAGAGACTTGAGAAAAGGTTACCGAAGTGTCTTTATCAGGGCTGACAGATATCCTAGCGTTTAGTAGCAGGTTGGCTGCGCAGTTCTATTTTTCCTGGATGAGACGCAGTAGAGACCCCCGAGGTGATACCTGCCGACGTGCGAAAGCCACATGAACGTGTTTTGTGAGACAGCGAGGTCACGTGGTAGCTGTTGCCTGGGGAAAATGGATATCCAAATGCTCTCGGTCATGATACACTGAAAACATGCTGACAGTTCCAGGCCTAATATTAACACAATGTTGAGCCCCCATTGACATGACGTGCTTACATTTTACGTCCATTCTGTTGTACACAAAGGCTCATAAATATGCATAAATGAACTGTACGTGGGCATATTCACATATTCATGACAGTCTCATAAAAACATACACAGGTCTAGCAGTTAATAAAACAATGAAAACGTGCTCCACAGATAATAGCATGTATAATGTATTAGACATATGCGAGTGCAATGCACAGTAGCTGTGGTCTCCAGATCGGGTGTGAGTGTGTTCTCGCAGGCCAGTATGAACCAGGGCCATCTGTGCCCGGGCTGGGGGACAGGAAGCCCACGTAAAGACACACATGCTCAGCCACGCAATGCCAGAAGACGACCCCCACTTGCCAATGCTGAAGCTCCACTATCCTTCACTGGCGTCCTTCTGCCCCGCGTGATTTTTTTTTTTTTTATTGTACAGTTTTTATCTATTTTTTGAACCATCACATCACTCCACTTTCTTGTGCCAGGTGTTAGCAGTTCATGGATTTTACAGAGTCTCGATCCAACCATATGTCTCCAGCTGCTCATTCATTCTTAACTTCAACAATAAAGTATTTATGAAAAATATTACAGGAGACATAAGTGTGCCGTATTTGAATCATACTGCAGTTCTTGGTACAGTTAATCTGATGGTTCTTAGCCAGCATGCAGAAGGGTACAGCAGGAATAATATATTTAGGGATTTTATTTTTAAACCAACTTTTTGGTTTAATAAAAGGTGACAAAGAATAAAGTCATCTCATCTATAGCCTATATAATGAAAATAAAGTCATAAGTGATTTATAGTTATGCCTCGGACTTATGCTGTAGCCTCAATGCGGTTTTCATTTATTCTTCTGCATCATTGTCCATGACGACATGCAATTACACATGCAGGCCACTAGTAGGCAGTGTCCACAGGAATGCTGCTGGTGTAACCTACAGTATTAAAGCAAAAGCCAAAGAAGAAGCAGCTTATTTTGTACGTTGTCGGAGAAACATCGGCAGTGATGGTGATGACTTTTGTTACAGCTTGACTTGCCGGTCCATCTTTGTTTTCGCTGTAGTTATGTCACAAGCAGAAATGCATATGAAGAAATGCGACGCTATCACAGATTTAAAAAAAAAAATATTTTTTTACCTGAAGGTGGGGTTCTAGCAGAACAACCATAGTGATTGCAGTCCGCATAGATTTGACGAGTTGTTACATCTTTGGAGAGGTGCATGTCAGGCTACGCCGTTGGTTTGACGCAAGAGTATAAATCAACCTTTAGACTACTTCTTAATTTAGCATAATGTATTATTTTGTGGCAACCATTGCATTCATTAATTTTTTTTTTAATTATGTTTTTTATACAACAAGAGGAATCCTAGAGTTATCATCTCATCTATATATAGACTTCTATAATCAGAATAAAGTCATAAGGGAAGTAACCTTAACCCCCGGTTTTATAGACAAGGCTTAAGCCTAGTCCCAGACTAAAATGCATGTCTGAGCTGTTTTAACTGAAAGAAACTTGCACTGACATATCTTAAAATATTCGGTCACACTTTATTTTAAGGTTCAATTATCGCTATTAATAAACCATTAACTGCGACTTTTCTCTCAATAAACTCCTAACTAATAGTTAGTAAGGTAGTTGTTAGGTGTATGATTATGGATGTAGAATATGGTCATGCAGAATATGTGCTTTTTAAGTACTAATAAACAGCCAATATGTTAATAATAGGCATGCTAATAAGCAACTAGTTAACGAGAATTGGTCCCTATACTAAAGTGTTACTGTAAGTGTCATTGTAATGCACATCAGTAGTGTTTTTTCCCCCTAAGGCATGTTTATAAAAACTACTTACATTTCCTAATTGAACGATGGCCTAATCCTAGCTTAATCTAAGCCCTTTCTGTGAAACCAGGCCTAAAACCTTATTACTTGCATTTAATAGGCTATAATTTGTTTAAAATACTTTTTTATTATTTTACTTTATTTTTATTTGTTTTGCTATTTTGTGGCAACCATTGCATCTATTTATTGCTGTTTTGTTTGCCTATGTTCTAGTGCCAAATTTATATATATATATATATATATATATATATAGAAACAGATAGCTTTGTCTCTGGCTCTGATTATGGGTGGCCAGAAGGTGGCAGGAGGTTGGGTCATTTCCCTTAAAGGAGTCGCACAGTGTCAGTAAGGCTCCAGAAGCCATCTTGCTTCTCTGTCCTCATTACTGCTTATCTTTCAGGCCTCTTCACAACATTAAGTCTGACTTATTTACCATTTCCTATAGAGCACGCTATAAATATTTGATCTAATAGGCCTACATTATTAAATTTTTTCCCAGTTGAACATATACGGTCAGATCTCTGTGTCTAAGCATCTCCACATGGTCTGTATCCTCACAGCCCTCTCAACCCCCTCATTCACTCGCACTGTGGGAATAGATTCAGTGTTCTGCATTCAAAACGTCAAAATGGCGGGCTGCTGGCATGCCACCCTCCTCTATGGCACACTGAACAGGAATGCTCGTTCCAAAAAGAAGATAAGAGAAAACCTAGAAGCTCAATCTCACGAACTGGTTGGATCTGTTGTTCCTCCAAAATCCTTTTCTTTTCCCCGTTGTTCTTCTCCATCAGTGCTGGCTCTCGGGTCTCAGGGTGCCGCTGCACACCACTCGCTGCTGTGTTACCATGGCAGCCACAGAGCCCGAGGAAGGCAGTATGAAAGACATGAAACACAAGCAGACCATCTTTTGTAGGGGCTTAGATCTTTATGCATCACACATTATCCATTTATCCAAGCCAATTGAACAAGTCACTTTGACATTAAAGAGACTTCCTTGGGGCAGTTCAAAGGTCTGCTTGAGCTTATTAAGAAAACTGATTGATTTAAATTAAAATTCTGTCACATACAGTAGTTGTCAGGAAATGGGGCAAAAATTGGGGTGCTTTGATACTTTTACATACTATGACAATGAATGATTGCAATGTGCACTATAGTATATTGTACATTGTACTTCATGTACCATGGCGCAAAAAATGGCTTTGCTGTAGCAATACTATACAGGTACATCTAAAAAAATTAGAATATCATGAAAAAGGTCAATATTTTTTGTCACTCATTTCAGAAAGTGAAACCCATATATTATATAGATTCATTACACATAGAGTGAAATATTTCAAGCCTTTATTTCTTGAAAGTTTGATGATGATGGCTTACAGATAATGAAAACCCAAAATTCAGTGTCTCAGAAAATGTGAATATCGTAAATAAGTTCAATATTGGAAAGTCATGGTGTCACACCCTAATCAGCTAATTACCTCAAAACACCTGCAAAGGTTTCCTGAGCCTTTAAATGGTCTCTCAGTCTGGGTCAGTAGGCTTACACATAGAGTGAAATATGTCAAGCCTTTATTTCTTGAAATTTGGATGATTATGGCTTACAGATAATGAAAACCCAAAATTCAGTGTCTCAGAAAATTAGAATATTACATAAGATCAATAAAAAAGTGATATTTTAAACGGAAATGTCAGGCTTGAAAAGTATGTTCATTTCTATGCACTCAATACTTGGTTGGGCCTCCTTTTGCATGAATTACTGCATCAATGTGGTGTGGCATGGAGGCAATCAGCCTGTGGCACTGCTCAGGTGTAATGGAAGCCCATGTTGCTTTGATAGCGGCCTTCAGGTCATCTGCATTGTTGGGTCTGGTGTCTCTCATCTTCCTCTCATTAGATTCTCTATGAATCATCAAAATTTCAAGAAATAAAGGCTTGAAATATTTCACTCTATGTGTAGTGAATCTATATAATATATGGGCTTCACTTTCTGAAATGAGTGACAAAAAATATTGACCTTTTTCATGATATTCTAATTTTTTGAGATGTACCTGTATAGTCTTTCCAAAATGTTAATGGCAGTCTGAAGAAAGAAAAAAAAGGACTGTCATTCCCTCAACTGTCATAGAAGAAACTCACTCTAACGCTAACTTAATAGAATTACAAATTGTATTGTATTTAATGCCAAAGTAATGTAATATAAATACTATAAAATATAAAAAGTGCAGTGTTATAAATATACATTACCATTCAAAGGTTTGGGGTGGTTCAGATTTGTAATTTTTTTAATTTATTTTTTTTATTTGTTTTTACGAATTCTTTTATGCTTACAGCTGCAAAAACAAGAAAAAAACTGTAGTATTGTGAGATATTTTTACAGTTTAAAATAACTGATTTCTATGTGAATGTTTTAAAATGTTATGTTAAATATACATTTATTTATGTGATGGCAAAGCTGATTTTTTTTAAGCAGTCATTACTCCAGCCTTCACTGCCATCCTTCAGGGATATGCTAATTTTGTGCTCAAAAAGCGTTTCTTGTTATTATCAATTATGAAAGCAGTTGTGATGCTTAATATTTTTGTGGAAACTGTGATACATTTTTTAGGATTCTTTGATGAATAGAAAGTTTAAAAGAACAGCATTTATTTGAAATGGGAATCTTTTGTGACATTCTAAGCATCTTTACTGTCACTTTTTATCAATTCAGTTTATTAAAAAAAACAAAAAAACTCACTGACCCCAAACTTTTTAACAGTATTGTATGTGTAGCGAATTGTGATATGTTGTCATTCTGGCATCTGTATGCATAATTAATTGTGATTGGTCATTTGTTCCTTGCATATATGTACTCATTAAAGCCAGCACTTGTAAGCACTGGTATTTCCTTCATGAACTGTTAATCTAGTTTCTAGTGATGCTTTTAGGTTTTTGCAAATGGTAAATCATTTTTCACAAAGCCTTTTATAAATATTACCAGTTTAGACATGAAGTCACAAAGTCTCTACAAGATCAAACGACCAAACTGAGAAGCAGAGCTGAGGCCAGTGATCGGCGTGTTCTACTGAAGTGTGAAGGAAACTTGGCTGGAATACCAATAGCCAGTCCTCTCTCTAAGCCCTCCCTCCCCTGGCTCCATTGCGCTTTTTTTCCCCTCTCTCCATCCCTCTGTTCTAGAACTCTCAGAGGCTGCTCCTCACATATGCTCTGTGTCTCTCCGGGGAAATGTAAGAGTGACGGATCCGACGGAAGACTGACAGGGCCCAGGTCCTCCCGCCGTTTTCCACTCACAGAAAAGAAATCATGCGATTAGCCAGTCACCGCTAATGAATCCCATGCTGGCCTGTCAGAGAAGAACTCATCACCCATCAGTGACTAGCAGGCTCCTTCACCTGTGTGAGGCGCATACGCACACTCTGCACTCGCTCTGACATAGAGTTTGTTTATTTGGCTGGTAGGTAGGTGTGATGACTCACTTTTTCTCTCGCGTTGTCTTTCCTTCCTCCCTCTCGAACTCACACACATGAACGCCAACTCAAACGCCTCCTAAACAAATCTTCCATCACTCTCTTTCCCCCTCAACCCTTCTTTTACCCCAGAGAGGCTCCTAGTTATCATTATGAGTAATTCACTTGCTCGCTCGCACAGAGGCTTTTTGCTCCTTTACTTGCCTGGAAGGCAACATATCCACTTGGCATACACCCATAATTCAGAATTCTTCTGTAGCTATCAAACTAGAGGCTTTACAGGGCAGGGTTGTCTTTTTACTGTACGTGTGATTTATTTTTTTTCTACACAGTGGAGTTCAAAAGCTTGTGAGCACAATAATTTTAGCATAAAATAGTAATGTTTATTTCGATTTCAAATAAATGCTGTTTTTTTTTACTTTATATTCATCAAAGAATGCAGAAGAAATAATGTATTGCAGTTTTCACAAAAAATAAAATAAAAATAAGCAGCATATTAGAGTGATTTCTGAAGGGTCATGCGACATTGAAGACTGCTTTGCCATCACTGGAATAAATTACATTTTAAAATACATTCAAATAGAAAACAGTTACTTTAAATTGTAATATTTCACAATATTACTGTTTTACTGTATTTCTGATCAAACACTGTAAATGCAACCTTGATAAGCATAAGAAACTTCTTTAAAAAAACAAACAAATCTAAAATCGTACTGACCCCAGACTTTCGAATGGTAGTGTACATTTAACTTAAATGTATCTGATTAGTAAAAAATAGTTACCATAAAATGAGAAAGAAACACTGACCGTTTAAATGAGAAATATTTCTCATATTTGTATATTCAGAAGAAAGATTTCTGAGTATTCCTGCATCAATAATCAAATAAAACATCCTGAAATGTATTATAAAGTTAATTGTTATGCTGATAATATAATTTTAAACAAACAGACAAACAAACAAATGAATAAATAGTAGTCTCAGACTTTTGGACCTTTGAAGAATTGCAATTTTAATAGACTTTAAATTAATCAGGGTAGATGCCATATTGAATTTTGCATGGATGAATGGATAGACTTACAGTTTTCACAATGGCACACACTGTGTACTTTTCAAAACTCACAACTTTCAAAACTGTTTCGTGGAGTTGTTGTCTACTCAACGTTTTGTCAGCAGAACAACCGTTATGTTGATAAACAACGGTTCAGTCCATTGAACGCACTGTACTTCTATTCCTCATAGCCTCGTTTTCATTCCTGTCAAAGATTAAATATGACTCTTCCTTGACTAAGGTCTGTTGAGATGACCCAACCTTGACACCTCAGCTAAACATCTCAAATTCTATATGATTTCTACCAAAACTCACCATGGATATCTTGTACTCCCCAGTTACCTGTACGATCTCCAACAAAGATTTTTTTCAACTTATCAACTACAAAAATGCTTTTAGATGCAGCCTGGTTGTCTTAACAATTTGTTATATTCATTTTATGTACGTCGTCCTAGAGACAATACCTCTTTAGGTGATGTTGGGGAATAGTCTTTTTGAAAAAGAGGTCAGGTATCTAGACTCAACTTTTCTCCATGTCAAAAAGATTTGATTTCTTCCTTTTCTCAGGGGAGGGATGCATAGAAAGAAAAAAAAAAAGGGGGGTGGGGGTGGGTACGTCGTCAGACAATACCTCTTTAGGTGATGTTGGGGAATAGTCTTTTTGAAAAAGAGGTCAGGTATCTAGACTCAACTTTTCTCCATGTCAAAAAGATTTGATTTCTTCCTTTTCTCAGGGGAGGGATGCATAGAAAGAAAAAAAAAAAGGGGGGGGGGGGTGGAAGTCAGTAGGTCTGTTGCTTCGCCTTCACCCTCCGTTGGCTCGGCTCTTTTTCCTCACCTCACGGACTCGCTGTCAGGAAGAAAGACCTGAGCATCAAGAGAGTGAAAAATAGAGAGATTGCATTTGATTCACTAAGGAAGATTGGGAGAGCCAGGGGGCTCAATTACCACAGCAGCCTTTAAGTGCCTATTTGTTATACAATCGTCTCCTTAACACAGTTTTAAAGAGTAGAACAGGTTTTGACTACAAGTAATTAACCGAATTTTACACAGATCTCAATTAATTTACCCCCATGTTACAGTGTGTTGCATCACTGGTCTGCGAGTGTTGCCCGAAACCTCAAGACCCCCATTGAGTGTCACGACATCTTATCGTTCTCCTATTTCCAGCTATTTCTTCTCCAGCTGATTTAATAAGTTAAATGTGTCCGTATTTGTGTGTCACCTCTTCGCAGCGGACGATGGCTGTGGCGGCACACTACGGGGTCAAAGTGGTGTCATCACCAGTCCAAATTACCCCCAGGAGTACAACAACAACGCGGACTGCACCTGGACCGTGCTGGCCGAACCAGGAGATACCATCGCCTTGGTCTTCTCCGACTTTCAATTGGAAGAAGACTACGACGTTCTGGAGATAACCGGCACAGAAGGATCCTCTCAGTGGTGAGTGCCCTAACAGTTTGCTTTTTCAGGCATCACTGGGGAAACCGAAGTATAGCGCTCATCACTATAGGTGTTTTACGAGAGAGAGAGGAAGCCAGGAGAACCACAGTCATGAAACATCTCAGCACTTGTTCAATGGAACAGAACCAAATCACAGCTTGATTCAATTATTCAGCACATAATGCGCACAGAGCTTGGACCAAATAGAGGGGATAAATACGTTGCAGTCCATCGCAAACCTTGTCTGGGGAGCACCGGAGTACTGTTCATTTATGAAAATGGTTTTATGGGCCTCTTAGTCTCCACGTTCACACAGTTTCCTTTTCACACCCATTAAGTACTGTAACAGGCTCTCAGAAATTATTATTGGATCGGGATAGGGACGTTTTTTTTTTGCATCAGGGCTGTGGACATAAATGTGTCATTCTAATGTCACAAGATGAGGCACTGTGTGATTTTTAGAATATGCTACACTATTTTCTTCTATCCCATTTTAATATGTAGATAATGATGCCATTTTTAGGTTGTTTCTGTTTTTATCTGGGGAGAGTTCTGGAAACAGGTTTGGAAATATTTTGCAGTTCTGTCGGAGACACTAGTTGTACAGTTGATGACTGTGCATGATAAATTCCTAATCAGCTGTTGCAGTGGGACTTTGTTGACTTAAAGTTGCTATTTTTATTGGATTTAAAAAAAGGGGGGTGGGGGTGGAAGTCAGTAGGTCTGTTGCTTCGCCTTCACCCTCAGTTGGCTCGGCTCTTTTTCCTCACCTCACGGACTCGCTGTCAGGAAGAAAGACCTGAGCATCAAGAGAGTGAAAAATAGAGAGATTGCATTTGATTCACTAAGGAAGATTGGGAGAGCCAGGGGGCTCAATTACCACAGCAGCCTTTAAGTGCCTATTTGTTATACAATCGTCTCCTTAACACAGTTTTAAAGAGTAGAACAGGTTTTGACTACAAGTAATTAACCGAATTTTACACAGATCTCAATTAATTTACCCCCATGTTACAGTGTGTTGCATCACTGGTCTGCGAGTGTTGCCCGAAACCTCAAGACCCCCATTGAGTGTCACGACATCTTATCGTTCTCCTATTTCCAGCTATTTCTTCTCCAGCTGATTTAATAAGTTAAATGTGTCCGTATTTGTGTGTCACCTCTTCGCAGCGGACGATGGCTGTGGCGGCACACTACGGGGTCAAAGTGGTGTCATCACCAGTCCAAATTACCCCCAGGAGTACAACAACAACGCGGACTGCACCTGGACCGTGCTGGCCGAACCAGGAGATACCATCGCCTTGGTCTTCTCCGACTTTCAATTGGAAGAAGACTACGACGTTCTGGAGATAACCGGCACAGAAGGATCCTCTCAGTGGTGAGTGCCCTAACAGTTTGCTTTTTCAGGCATCACTGGGGAAACCGAAGTATAGCGCTCATCACTATAGGTGTTTTACGAGAGAGAGAGGAAGCCAGGAGAACCACAGTCATGAAACATCTCAGCACTTGTTCAATGGAACAGAACCAAATCACAGCTTGATTCAATTATTCAGCACATAATGCGCACAGAGCTTGGACCAAATAGAGGGGATAAATACGTTGCAGTCCATCGCAAACCTTGTCTGGGGAGCACCGGAGTACTGTTCATTTATGAAAATGGTTTTATGGGCCTCTTAGTCTCCACGTTCACACAGTTTCCTTTTCACACCCATTAAGTACTGTAACAGGCTCTCAGAAATTATTATTGGATCGGGATAGGGACGTTTTTTTTTTGCATCAGGGCTGTGGACATAAATGTGTCATTCTAATGTCACAAGATGAGGCACTGTGTGATTTTTAGAATATGCTACACTATTTTCTTCTATCCCATTTTAATATGTAGATAATGATGCCATTTTTAGGTTGTTTCTGTTTTTATCTGGGGAGAGTTCTGGAAACAGGTTTGGAAATATTTTGCAGTTCTGTCGGAGACACTAGTTGTACAGTTGATGACTGTGCATGATAAATTCCTAATCAGCTGTTGCAGTGGGACTTTGTTGACTTAAAGTTGCTATTTTTATTGGATTTGTACGGTGGCCGAGAAGTGCAAAACAAATCACAATTCTGAAAACAAGATAAATTACAAACGCAAATGCAAGTCTAAAAAACAGAATAACAATTCAGAAAACACAACAACAATTCAGAAAACATTATAACAAGTAAGAAAACACAATGACAAATTCGAAAAAAAATAACAAGTCAGAAAACACTAGTATTGTAGTACATTATAAAACAGTATGCAATAATTATCGTATTGAGTAAATTATAATTTTAATTTTAATTATTAAATGGATGCTATCCATCTGCGCCACTGGAGCTAATGTTTTGCAGCCACTTTTAACTAAAATGTAAATATACACTCCGTATTTTTTATTCCATAGTAAGGGCAATTCATACAATACATTTAAACTGAGCTACTTTAATACCATCTCCGAACTTTCTACCACGACTCTGCTGTTCTTCGGCTGGTTCTTCCTCTATACGTTGGATTGACAGATGTCTCGTCCAGTCAGCGGTGAGTAATCCCAAACCAATGGCGCGGTCTCA